TGAGAGGTTAAAAGAAATGTATGTATATGTACATACTCAAGTATATTTAAATATACATGTACATTTGTACTTATATGTGTGTGTACATATACATATACAAGGATATATACATATACATATACTCAATAGATAAGTCCTGGATTTTTTCAATATATTGATTGTTTCTTTTCCGAACAGTAAATCCAATAATAAAAAACAATTTGTTTTTTGAAGATGTTTAATACGACGTTTTGGAACTAGGTACGTTCCATCATCAGGTTTATTCTGTAATAATTTATATATCCATATCACTAATATTTTTTTGTTAAAAACACTCGATTTTTTTGGAAGATATTTGTAGATGTTACGACTACACAAGACTTAAACACACATATACATATACATATACATATGTATGTTTGTATATAATATATATACATGAACATGTATGTCCTAAAAACGAGGTCCATCATTCAAAACTTTTATGAATTTTTGTAATTCAACCACTTTTCGTAGGCCTCTAATATTTTAGGATGTTTGTTTAGGCTACGACATCTATCACTGTGCAAAGTTTCATCAAAATTATCGAAAAAACTATTTTTTTACTTAATAATTACGAAGAAACGTCTGGCTGACCTTTACTAAAAACAATAATCAGCATCATTAGTTTTCTTAAGTATGTTTGAAAAATATCAATTGTAAATCGCATTGATTAGATTTTACTGAAAGCAAAAACTTCATTTTTAAAATATGAGGCTGAAAATGAAAAAAATAGCTAAGTTAGAATTATTATTGATTAAATGAATTAATTACACATATTGGGAAGTTTGTGTAACTTGCATTATGGCAAAATGCCACTTACATATAGCATACTTGTAATGTGTATAAAATTTGTGTAAATATCAAAACTATATATGCATATAATTATGTTCAGTGCAAGTGTGTATGCATTTAAGTGTGTATGTATGTGCATAAAACGTGTAAAGATATGTATCAGTGTGTTAAATTGCATATAAGTGCATATGAATGTGTAGAGGTGTTTTTGATTGTGTATAAGTGATTATAAATGTGTATATATGTGTATAAATGCACATGATTATGTTTATAAGTGTGTAACTGTTTTTCATTGTGTATAAATGTGCATAAAATGTGTTAATAATATGTATAAGTGTGTATAAATGTGTATAAAAATTATTTAAAAATATGTATAAGTGACTAAGTGTGTTATAATTGCGTATAAGTGCATATGAATGTGTAGAGGTGTTTTTAAGTGTATATAAGTGATAATAAATGTGTATATATGTGTATAAATACACATGATTATGTTTAGTGTGTAACTGTTTTTAAGTGTGTATAAATCTGCATAAAACGTGTTTAAAAATATGCTTAAGTGAGTAAGTTTATTAAATTGCGTATAAGTATAGGGGAAGTCCCCGAGTGCCGGACACCTAAGTTTATTAAAAATAAATCAAAAAATATTTTACGACATGTTCATTAAATTATGACTTATGTTGAAAAACAAAGTTAGAAATCAAACTAATTTAATAAATACGTAACCCTTGCTAAAAAATAAATAATACTATCAATCAAACTTTGGTAACAAGAATATGAGTTTACAAAGTGGCACCTAGTATCGGACATTTCAAATTAACCACCATTGAACCCATATGTAGCCATCTCCACACTCTGGAGTGTCTGCACATGTGTCTTTGACGAATATTCTTAGATATTGCAAAAAAAAATCACTATTTATTCACCCTTTTGGCTGGGCCACACCGATGCTCTCAGCTAGAGCATTCATCATAAGATTTTTATTCTTTGACTAGGAAATATGAAAAATGGGGGTATGTAGTGACCGTTAGCACTCATACAGAACTAAATTAAATAATTAGAATAAATTACGCCAATTTTCACAAGAAATATCAATCTGTTTACTGTCCCGCGCTAAGCGACGACTTTAGTGTTCGGTGCAAAGAGACAGGCATGTTCGTTCATTTGATGGTACCTACTAAAATTGTTTAAAATATCTAATAATATTCTACCATTTTACGGATAACAATCAAATACTACTTTTATTTTTGAATGCCACTCAAATCTAAATGCATAAATATACTAGTATTACTTTCATTGATATTTAGGTAACGCCGTGATTTTGCGCCTAAAACAGCAAAGGGTTGCACCCGCCTTGGCCGTGTGCGTCACAGGTGAGTCTTGGCGCGTGATACTGGACCTGTGTGCCCCCCGCGCCCTTTTCACTTGTATTTCATATAAAAAGATATGTACTCGCGTAAATAGTACGTGTTAAATAGTATGTCCGGCATTAGATGCCGTCCGGCGTTACGGGACTTCCCGTAACTGAACGAATGTGTAGAGGTGTTTTTAAGTGTGCATAAGTGATTATAAATATGTATATAAATGAATAATTGCGTATAATTATGTACATAAGTGTTTGAGTATATATGAAAGTGTATTTATATGTAAAAGTGTGTGTATGTTTTTAAGTGTGTTAAATAAGTGTATGAATGTATGTAAAAAGTGTGCATGTGTCCAAAAGTTTATACGCATGATTTTGTTAGTGTACATAAGTGTATATAAATATGTATATACACTTGTTAGTGTACATAAGTGTATATAAATATGTATATATATGTGTGTATATGTGCAGATGTGAGTATGTGCATATAATATATATATATATATATATATATATATATATATATGTATAATTGTATTTATAAGTGTGTATGAGTGTATATAAAAGTGTATTTATAATTTTAAGTGTATCTGTATGCATAAATATGTGTATATATGTATGAATGTTTATAAATGGTTTTGTATGTGTGTATGAGTGTGCATAGGTGTATACATATAATCTCTGGGGTAGTTTTTGCTCTTTTAATTCAGGGGTTGATTTTTGGCAAAAAAAGGATGATGGACTTTTATTGTCGAATCTATATATTAGAATTAGCTACAGCTCATTAACCATTCAATTCTACTTTATCTTGCTAACGACTCACAAAATGGAGGGAAAAATAAAATTGTATTATATATATATATATATATATATATATATATATATATATATATAATACCCTGTATCAACTCAGTTTAGATCGTATAATTGATGGAGGTGCATTTATTTATTATTTATATGTCTCTTGTAACTTTTAAACCATTCGATTAGTATGAATGATGTATTAGGGAATTATCTGTGTGTCTCAATAGAAATTAAAAAATATTCTCTAAGTGGTGATAAAACTTTTGTCTAACTGGAAATCAATTTCTCACAAAACTATTTGTAATTACGAACGACTTCAACAGTTTAATTAAAATTGCTAACACTGAAGACGGTCGTAAAACTGCAATCGAAACGTCTAATGATATATATATATATATATATATATATATATATACATATATATATATATATTTAGTTAGTTATATATTTTATTTACGAGCATCGTTGCAATCAATTTTCAGTTAATGAGCAGGTGTTAAAGAAGTCGTCGGCAGGAGCTTCGTGTTAATTAAAACGTTTCGAATGAACACTTTAGCATTCGCCAGTTCGAAAATTTTGCATCGCATTTCGATAATTTATATCAATAATAATCGATTAAAATAAAATAAATGAAAGCGTTTTGCGAATCGCAACAGAGATGAATTTTTTGGCGCCAGTATTTCTGGTGACATATTTTCTGTTAAGGTGAGCAGAGAACGTATTTTATTGGAATGTAAGCATGAAACATATATTTATTAGGATAAATCCAAGTGATGATCTTACCTCATATTTATAGGAATTAAATAAAATAATAATAATAATAAAATAATAAAATGCCTTACGATAAAAGCTAGACAGAAAATATGTTACAAGAAATACTGGCGTCGTATGCCACCGGGCTTTAATAATAGTGATTTTAATTTATATTAACTATTTAAATACTAATCAATTTTCAAGGAATAACTTCCCATCTGAAGTTTGATTTACATATAGTGATAGACCCCGTTAAGACGATTATGCTTTATAGGATTTTTCGCATTTCACGCAAATATTGAAACATAATGTCCTCAATCGGCACTAGACTCTTTCTCGCATAAGACGCTTTTATTATCCAATCTTCTAGAAATCGTCTTAACAGGGTTTCATTACTGTACATAAATATTTATATATTTATTTATATAATAAATTCTGCATTTGCAAAAGTAAAAGGTCAAAATTTCCATAATTGATAAAAAAGTGACAGGTAACATGATTATTTAATTAAGAGTGCAATTAAATGAAATGACTCGTTTTTATTTTTGCAATGTGCATTCTTATTAACGAAAGTTTAAAGTTTAATGTGCACATTTATAAATACATATATTAACAGTAAACCCCGTTAAGACGATTTTTGAAGGACCGAAACAAGAACGTGTGTTGAGTGAAAATCACAATAGGAAATAGAGACAATCTGTTTTAAAGTGCAGGATCTGGAGTATTATGCGAAAAATCGTATTAAGCGTGATTGTTTTAACGGAATATATATATATAGATATGTATATATATATATATATATATATATATATATATATATGTATATATATATATTATATATTATAAAATTTATCATATAAAACGGTATTAATAAAAGAAATGTTGCAGCTTGCGAGTTATTATATATAAAATATATGGAATACAATAAAATCTGTGGAAGCGTCAAACCGTGACA